TGTTTTATATACTTTACTGATCAGTTCTTATTTAATTTATTAACGCAAGTTTACACAGTGTATGCCATGGTTAGCACATTTAACACCACACCTCTTTTTTTTTATTAATGAATAAAACCATCTTAATGAGAAATTGCTAGTAAATTTCATAAATAATTTCAAAGAAACAGCAAGTACATTGAATTAAATGTAATATTTGGAAGCAAAAGACTGAAATAGCATTTTCTTGTAAAACATACTACAATAATCCTTGTTTTATTATTTCTTATCTTAAAAAAAATTTTCAGTGTATAATTATTTGAGATTTTGCCTAAACAAATCTGATTATTTTTCAACAACCATTAGCTTTTCCTGAATAAGATTGCATAACTCATCTTGCATAAGTTTAGCTTTAAAAACCAAGCACCCAACACAAAAATAAAACGGTAACATGCTTAACTACTGCTAAAGTTGCACCTGTACTATTTTCCCACAGATGATACAGATAAAAAATTCCATAATAAAGGCTGAAAAATAAACAGCAAAAAATTAACAAACCAGTGTAGCTAAGCAGGTCACTTTGTATGGCATCCTTAAAGCTGCAGTCCGTAATTTTGCCTCGTCGCCATCTCTGTTTGAAAACCTGCAATTGCAGTTATTTGCGCAATTATCTTCCTTGCGTGGGTTGTGCACCGGCACAGCTCCAGCGCGGATGAATCTAATGTTTTGAGGTGAATGTGTGGCAGTCAGACAGACAGACACCGGTGTGGATACTGTACTTCGGAATCACAGATTCTAGCCTACGTCTTGGAATACATGACCCAAATAAGCATTTTCACCGGATATTGTCATCTGAACAAGTAACAAGTCTGCCACTTTTGCTCTGACCAACTGAGGAAAAAAGCATTATAATAAATCCCGCTACCAATGGCGATTAAATCTAACAATCACTTAGCTCATATCACACCAAACCGTGCAAATTTTTATTGTTATACTTTTTTCTCAAATTGTTCGTTAACAACATCAGCATTGCCTATGTGTATAGTGTGTATTAGCGTGTAGATTTAAATTTCTGTACAGTCTAATCTCTAATTGTCATACCATTCGAATTTCATATTAAGAAATTCTTGTAACCCAAAAGGCAAATTATTCTTCTTTCGAACTGGTTCTCTTTAAAATACAAATCTTGTGTAATCCCACATATGCTATCTGTAATCAGATGCACATTTAAAACTGGAATTTAATTTCAGTCACATGTATTTCATAAACACATAATCCTTTCTGGATTACAATCCACCATCAAAATGATAAATGTAATTATCATTTCAGCTGCTGTGAGAAAAGGCTATAACGATCCGCCACCTCACTGTAAAACCCGTTAAGTTCAGAATACTCAATTTTTGTGTACACCGATTACCTCAAAAAATGTAATTGAGCAACTCAAATTTTTTAAGTTAACATTAATCATAAATAACAATTAAGTCAAACTAAAAAGCTTAAATTTGTTTTTGCTTAATGTTTAAGTGCAGTGTACTTAAAATTATTGTTTATCATACGTAATGTTTTTCATTTAACAATTATTTTAATGCAGTAGTGCTTTATTAAATACAAATACTAACAAAAAAAAATACACTTATGCATAAAAAAAAAAAACACGCACAACTGTGGCTATACAATTGAGGATTTTTTATTCAGCCTTTTTTAAACCGCATGAACGGTGTATTTCTGAATGTCAAACACTGGAAGATCATCTCATCACAACTGCAGTGCTTGCAGGACTTGTAGTGGTTCCGTTGTCCACGATAACAAAATCAGCAGGAGAGGTGTTTGTGTCAGTGATGTCTGGCTCGCCCAATTCCTCCTGGAATAAGCACAGAGGGTAAAAATTTAACTTTAACTTCAGAGACTAAAAGTAGACATTTATATTTACTGCCAATAGTGTGGGCAACTATAAAGTCAGAACCCGGAAGAGTAATTCGCCGTGGGTTCCTTCTAGATTTTCCTATGGGGTTTTATAATGGGGTTTTTCAATTAAAATAAAGCCTGTGGTAAACATAACTTGACAATACTTTTACGTTTTGTTGTACAACGTAAATTACACACATCCATACCCAAAATACAAATTTTGAAGCAGTTATGTTCATTTTTTAAAACGTATGTTTTTAATAAGTAGCTAGATAAGAAGGTTTAGGCTGTGAGTGTGTGCAGTTTATATTGTAGTACAAAATGTAGAAGTATTGTCAAGTTATGTTTACCACAGGCTTTATTTTATTCATAAATTGAAAATCCCCATTAAAAAACCCCATAGGAAAATCTCAAAAGAACCTACAAGTTTGTAGATTGCTTTTGTAAAATTAATATATTGCAAAATTCATGCCTGTGTATTAGCTTTAACCTTACACAGCACATTTACCAGGGCATTTCCCCAAAAACAGCATTGTTTGGATAAGATGATCGTAGAAACATTTGGCACCAAATGGTCTCAACAATCGACTTAGCTCACGATGCTTTTATAAGTTGCATCAACGATTTAACAGACTTTAATTGCAGTGTTCTTAATCTTTATAAGTTAGTAGTACTGTTCGGGTTTACAGTGCTCGATAGCCTAGTAGCCGGGACAACTTCTTTGTGTTTACAGACGTGACCGCAATGATGCAGCGGCATGCGCGAATTTCCCACGAATTCCTACCAGTACCACTCAAAAAAAAACATTATTATAAGCTAATCGATGTGAATCGGACTAAAGTAAGGCTATAGTTTTGAACACTGGCTGGTTACCTGCTCAAATATTAATTTCGGATCATTTTTAGCCAAAAAAAGTTACTGACTACAGCTTTAAGAAGTGCAGAAAGTAAGAGCATGTTTATAAAAAAGGCATCAAAGATTTTTTGAGCATAAATGGCAGAAGTTTGTGCTTTATATCTGTAAAACGGCACTGCTGGCAACTAAAAACAAATTTTAAACAGTTTAAACTTCTGCTAAAAAGTTAAGGCTTAGTATTTTTTTAGCACAGCAGGGGGCTGTTTCATAAAACAAGTTTACCAAATAAGCCTTATTTCAGTTAGTCTGACTTATTTTCACTTGATTTGGTTTCATAAAGCAAAATTACCATAGCTCAAGCTCAGTCACTCTGGCAATTTATGCTGGAAAACTAACTTGGTCTGAGGCAGGCTAAGCTGAGCTCCTCTAACTATGACCAATAGAAACGCATTGATAATACCGCTGACTCTCTCACATAGCTAAAATTATTTGACGTTATCAGTCCAAAAATAAAAGTATACAGAAAATGCAACAAATAAATCAAATAAATAAAAATATAGGCTACATGCGCATTCAGTTGAACAGCAGTTTCTAGCCATGCAGCCTTGCTCCGGTTGTATGACAGCTGTACTTTATGGTTATTAGTAGAACATTAAAACATTACAATATAAAATTGCTCTTTAAAGCATTAAAAACACTAAATTAAAAGTTAAAATCACTAAATTAAAAATGAAAATAAAAAATATATAAAACAGACTATATTTTATGAGGAACACACATTTAACTCATTTGAGCTAGTAATTAGGGCTGTATTAGCTAGCTTATGTAGCAGATCTGATTCTATACATAAGGAATTTTAATATTTCACTCTTCCCAACAGGCTACACTTACATTTGATTTACAGTTACTGCTATCAAAAATACACATATGTAGGATTAAAATTGATGATTTTGATTTCGTCCATGATTTTAATTTCATTGGGACGTTGAGGGCTGCTTAAGAATAAGCGTGCACATCAAATTATCTTGACTCACTGAACCTGGATCGAATTAGTGAGATTCCGTGAACTTAAATAGTCGTTTATGAAACCGCTTTAGTCCCGATTGATTTGTTAGGTTATTTCAATTCAGGTTTTGGACTTTAATCCCCGCTTTTCTTAGCATCTTTTATGAAACAGCCCCCAGGTCTGTTCCAGAGAAATCACATTGAGTGCAGAAATCAGCAGTGGTGGAAACAGTACTGAAAAAATATACTCAAGTAAAAGTACCATTACCTTAAAAAAAAAAAAAATCTCACTACTCATGAGAATTGAGTAGTGAGTACTGAGCTGTGGATTCTTCCCCCTCATAATAAACGCTGTACACCGCAATTTATACATTTTAAAAACGTTGTACATTCTGTAATTCACATCATCTTGTTTGTCATAAAAAATGAAGAATATCTATCATCCAGCTGTTTTAATTTTGACTGCCAACACTTTAAAATACATCAAAACAGCACGGAAACAGTATTCAGTTGAAGAAAAGATGAAAGTTATTCTCAATACAATCA